TCTCTCTCTCTCTCTCTCTCTCTCTCTCTCTCTCTCGCTCTGCCTCTTACCGTCGGGTGGTCGAGGCCCTCCGCCCTGATGTACCCGAAAAGGACGTCTCGAGCCTCTGCGGGGGTAAGATACTCGCCGAACTTCCCTCTCACCGAAGCCGCGTCGCTCCCTAGGTATCATTCGGAAAGCGCCAAACCAATAGAACAACAACAATGAAAACACACACACCAGCATGCCAGCACGCACAAAACTCAGCCGCTTGGAGAGCAGTACGAGAAACTCTACCGGGGGGGGCCAGAACTGCTATTGGGCTCGCGGCTGGCCACGTCTTGCTACTGTCTGCTTCCCATGGGCAGCACGGCAGTGTATCACAAATAAAGATCATGTGCCGGGAACCCTGCTGTTGTACTGAAGAGATATATTATCGCGTCGACATGATTGGAGTCTCGCCTCACCGCGTGCAACCCTGAGTAATCCCTCCGTCGCTTGTTGCGCTGCGCACGTTGGTACGCTTGGCAGGGAGGCCGCCGTGAGGCCACAATGCGCGTTTCTCAACAAGCAGAGCACAGTAAAAAAGGTCGAGAGAAGTGAAAGAGTCCCCCCCCCTTCTTCTGCTCACCGAGCATCTTCTTGATGTTGTGGGAAAGCTTGAACAGCTCGAAAGCTTTCAGGGACGTCTCTCCGTCACCCGCCGCCGTCGCCGCCGCCGTCGCTCCTCCGCCCCCCGCTTCCGCCGCGGCAAGCTCGGCCGCGTCCGCCGCAGCCTGCGCCGCCGCCGTGACGGAGGTGGCCTGCCGAAAACGACAAACACAAATTCAACACCAGCCCTCGGTAGTGTAGCTACTGTTGCAAAGCACGCGTGCCCGTTGTTGTTGCTAGAAAATCGTCATCCGAAGCCTTAACGGTTCTTCCTACCCTCCCCGCTCAGTCTGCGGCATTCGTCACAGAGCAAAGCGTTGGAAGGATAAATGAGCTCGAGGGAGAATATACCGGCGGCCCGTGCGCACGCGTCGACGAGCGCAGATATGCAGATCAGGGCTGCAACCTAGTACCGCTGCGATGCTGCTGCTGCGCTCGCTCACCTTGAACGCGCGGAGGTCGGGATGGGCACGGTTCACCCCCACCAGCGACTGCACGCCCTTGGTCACCTGGTCCGCGCAGCGCCGCGCAGCGGCGGTCCCCCATGCGCGGGGAGTAAGGCGCGGAGTTTAGGCTTCAGTCAGAGGCCGGGGTGCGCGAAAAAGCGCCGAGAAGTGCGTTCGCCTTTGCTGCCCTCGAGGCCATAACCAATCTACACTCAAAACACTGCCGTAGACAATTACCACAAGAGGCCAAGAGATGGAAAAAGCTCGATTGCTCCAAGGCCAAGGGTGTGCGTGCGGGAAGAGCCCGATACGTCTCCTCCGGAAAGCCCCCGATGAGATATTTCCATCATTTTTTGTTGTTGGCATAAGCTTGGCTGCGGAGCAATCGAGCTTGAAAATCGGTCGAGGGGACACGTCGGTGCCATCTCTCCGTCCCTTGCGGGAGCTCGTGAAGGGTGCAGGCAGAGAGCATGTACATCACACGCGCTTCACCCTCATTCATGATTTACACGCGAGATAAGAAGTATCATGCGCCGCTCGGCGCATGCCTTGCTGCAACACCGGGTGCTAGGACATAGTAAGATGGTTGGACATGGGGCATAGGTCCTGAGAAAGATGACCTGGCAGGAAGACCGGGACACAAAGGCCTCGCCATGCTCTGCATCCAATGAATCACATGATTCATATTCTACCACAATGCTGTACACATCCCCATCCTCTCAGCTTTGGTTGTTCACTGGCAACCATTGACTCAACCTCTCAGGTTTACTGGGTGACTGGTAACCTTTCGATGAAGGCTGACAGCTGTAACGCACGACGTATTGCCGCGATTAGATAGAGTATAGAGTGTGAGATAGAGTTTGACGGCCGTACCGCTACCGGACGGCGTGCTGCCGCGTGTGCGTGGAGTTGGAGATAGGTCTTGACGGCATTACCGGCTCAACCGGCTACGGTAATGCCATCAAACTCCAACACCAACTTCACCCACACGCGACAGACAACCGTGCGGTAATGCCGCCAAATCAAAACTCAAGCCGGTAATGCCATCGAAGTCTATCTCCAACTCCACCTAAACGCGGCAGTAAGCCGTGCGGGAATGCCGCCAAACAACAATAACTGTGTCTATTTCTATTTAAACGCGGCAAAAGGTCGTGCGTTACAGCCGTCAACCTCTGTCTAAAGGTTGCCAGTAGCACACCAAAACTAAACTGAGACGATGGGAAAAAATGTGTATGGTATGGTATGTAGATGATAAAGTATCATGTGACATGTTGGATGCAGAGAATGGCGAGGAGATTCGCGTCTCAGTCTCCGCGATAGCCTTGGTGAGACCAAACCTTGTCTCCCTGGCAAATCAACGCCTTCGTATGGGGGTCTTTCGAGCAAAACCACTTTCGCGTTCAGAAACCGCACCTTGAGGGTGACCAGCCCCCTCCCTTCCATCTCCTGCAAGAAGTTGGAAATCTTCCGGTAGCTGGTCTTCTTGACGTCGATCGAGGTTCCCGGTGGCCTCGACGGCAGCAACACGGACGAGTAGAACGTGCTGACCAGCATCGGCAGCTGCGCGTCCTTGAGGCCCTTCTTCAGACCGTTCAGGAACGCCGCGTACAGCCGTTCGCTTACAACTTCCACCGCTTCCTCCTCCTGCTCCTCCCCCTCCCCCCCCGCGTCCTCAAGCGAGACTCCTTCTAACCCCTCTACCGCCGCCGCTAGTTTTTCGTCGCTGCCGCCGCCACTCTCCCCTCCCCCAGCCGCCCCAGCCGCCCCAGCCGCTGCAGCGGGGTGTGATAAATCCTCCCAATCGTCGGCAACCTCTCCATCGTCCACGAGCTCCTCCTGGCCCGAGATCTGCGCTCCTGCCGACGGTAATCGGTAAACCTTGCGACGCACACGCCAGGCGCGGAGACGATGACAATATGGCGAAGAGAGTAGTACGGTACTGAGTGTCATCCGTGTGGGTCGACGGGCGTGGTGGGAAGGTGGCAGTAAGACTTGTGTCATGGAGCTAGAGTTTCGGAGGAACAACAATCTCGTGGTGTCCGCCAGCGCAACACGGAAGGGAAAAGATCAACACTCCACACGGGAAAAATTCCCGCAAGCGCGCTCCCAACAGAATGCCCAAGACACAGAGAGAGAGCGGCACGACAGAGATCGCCCTGGCCGGTAAGCGACGGTACCAACGATGCTTGAGCAAACAATCACACGAACTTCCTTCTGCCGGGCCACCCACGTGCTACAGTAGTTGGAAGAAGCCCATCGGTAACCCGAGAGACTGCCCAATGGGCGTGGACTTGCACCCTCCCACTCGTCTCAAGCTTTTTCTTTCATCGCATCCTCTCACCCCGTCTGGTCGGAAGCCCTCATTCGGCAGGGTTTGAGGGCCCATCTGCCACAGAAAGTCAAGGTAGCAGTGCACAACCTGGAACGACGGGTTAAGGCGAGGCCGTCACTATCGTGAAAACAAATCAATCAAGAAGAAATAGGGGTGTCCAACGCAAGAGGTGCAAGCAGGAACGAAGGAACGAGCAAAAATAAATGGCAGTGGAAGGGAGGGAGCTTCGCCAGGGTTGTCAGGGACAGGGACAAGGACAGAGACGGGAGGGCGAAGAGCGGAGACACCGATACCGACGGAAAGGATCGGGGGAGGTCGATATCGACGGCAGGGCCATAACCTTGTCACCCAACAAATCGAAATGTTTTCCGAGGTGCCGCAGAAGAGAGACCAGCACAAAAAAAAGTCCGTTGATGACCAATCGATGGCCACCACGCTCGAACACAGCGACAAGCAATACTGTGCCGGTATCTGACGAAAGAAAAAAATACTACATAGCTGCGCGAAACGCGAAGCCAGCTTTGCTCCATTGTAAACATCTCATGGGAGCACCCAGGGTCGGGTCAACAGACCAAAGAATGTTTCTGGCGGGCAACAAACAGCGGGCCATTTCGATCTTAACAAACAAACTATCACGACATTCTAGTAGGCACGAATCCACGCATACGTTCTCACCCTCCAGAAAAGTGCGAGACAATATTTAGTGCATACACCTCGAACCAAGGAAAGAGGAATGTACATTAGACACATACGCGCGCCAACACCACGAAGATCATGAGAGGTAGGGACACACCTTCAGCCCCTTCCCGATCATGCCTCCGTGCACCACGCCTTCTCTGTCCTTGATCATTTCCCCCACCTGTGGGATGACAGCCACAACACAATGCGGCGACGCCCGGCAAAAGAGAACACCGCCCACGTACGTACCAAGGCAGACCAGCAGAAGCAAACACAACGCGTAGGTTGGACTTGGCGAAAGCCAGCGGCAGGCCACGTGCCGTGCACAGTGAACGTGTCGCCAACGAACGCACACGCTGTTAGCGCAGCGCAAAAGGAAGGCAAACACGATAGAATAAAACTTGCGAGAGCGAACGCGTCAAGTGTGTTGTTTGTTTCTTGCGTGAGAGAACCAGAAACTCAAATGCACACACCCATGCACAGGCTACAATCAGGGAGAGCAAGAGGCTACGACAAACGCCCCGAGTGCACTCTGCGATGTGTGCAAGCAAGAAGTCTACACAGCAGTACGTACGTACCGCGTACGGCTCGGGGTTACCGCTGGACATGACGCATCGCCTCTCCCCCAACACGTAGTCCACCGAGGCCAGATCCCTTACCACGACGCCTGCTCGCGGAAAAGCAGTGGTGTGGCAAGTAATCGGCACCAAGTACACATACACACACCGCACGTTGTTTCGATGTTTGTTCTTGGCTGACGTAAACAGCATCTCCGCCTCTTCCCGACCCCCCCCCCCCCCC